AGAGAGAGAGAGAGAGAGTGGTGTCCCATTTTAGGGTCCATTCCCATTTAAGCGGACGTTCAGCCTCCATAGAACCTAATTTAGAGGATCGACCTCCTCCCTAAATGAGTCCATAGTGTCACTGCAGGTTTTCAGGTCTTAATAGCAAACAATGCAACGGTAAATGTCACTGAAAGCGTTTGACCCCAGTGGATTTTTGGATACAACAGGCAATACCGGTTGTTTCATTTAAATTTTGGGAAAAGGAGGCTGCAGTTCTTGGCTCCACTTGGAAGACTCTTTGGAATGGGATAGTTGAACGGTTTTGAAGTATTTGCTCTAGAAATGCAGATTTTCGAAGGTTGCCCCTGAAATGGGTCACGACTACAGAGAGAGAGAGAGAGAGAAAAACAGCATTGGAATTTATACACAGGTATTAGTTTATAACAGGTTTTGGTGCCTGAGGCAATTCAAAGTCACTCCACACATAAATTACTATACTAACTTTAAATTTGAGTTGAAAAAAAAAAAAAGAAGTAAAATTGCCAAGAAGTTTTGTTTTCCCACAACACCAACAATATTCTTGGAGAAAAATGTTTGTTGAATAGCAGCTCAAATCTTATTCTAATTAAGTAAATGTAATGCAGTTTGACTGTAACTTCCTCAGCGTTTTAAGGTCTTTCTAGTTTAGTATACCTCGGTTGTGGTTCGTTACGTGACATTTGTTTTCCTCAAGCATACAGAAAGAAGTACTGCTGCTCACCTGTCTCTACGTCTGTGATCACAGCCGAGTTATCAAATGAGCCAGTGAGAAGGTGTCGCCCGCAAGGGGTCCAGCAGGCGTCACGCACGGCTCCCGAATGGCAGGTGTAAGCCCTCAGGCATCGCCCGCTCTCTGCTCCATCCCACACCTGCCAGACATGGGCACATCGCATCAAGCCACAAGACACAAATACACCTAGACTGCAGCCACAAAATCATTTTTACTGGCTGTACACAAGTTCAAACTGTTCTGGAGGACAGCTTTTGTAGCTCTACTGCGTCAAAATACGCAGTAAGTGCTAGAAAACAACTCCAGCTGACGGGTTAATGAGTTTAAAGCAATTGTCAAATTCAGAACACTTGGTTAAATCAGTAATTTGTAGTTAGTCTTTGAAGGTTGCTTTGACTCGTCACATCACTGAAAATGGAAAAAAGCTACTGTAGGTGTGGTAAAAGGCTCAAATATGATGCTGACCACTGCATCCTTTACACCTCAAATAAACACCAGATGAAATAACATACAGCATGACAGAGAGAAGCAGTGGGAAAGAGGAGACATCAGACAGCACTGACATACTGTGCTTCAAACCCGCATGCCTTGGACAAGGTTTCAAGGCAGTTTACTGAGAATAGAATAGACCAGGCCTGGTTTGGCGGCCACTGCTCTCTCCTGAATGAAAAGAAGAAACAAAGTGCAATTTCTTTTGCCATGCTTTTGCAGATGATGAATTCAATGTGTCCTCCGGCCCTGAAAATCTTTTCTGTGTGAATGAGAAATTGGTGAATGTAGTCTGTCTCTTTTTCAAAGCTGAGATATAATCTAAGCCTTTCCCTTTTAACTGAATTGTTATGAAACAAAATACTCAGCAAAGTGCCGCTGGATAAATCGGCATAATACGTACACATCAGGCTTATTTACTGGATTTAGAAGTAAAAACAACCTTTATAATTAATTAATCAAACTAATTACCTTTGGGTGTGCCTATAAATCAATCCCCCACGGGGTCTAATGGCTTTAATGGTTTTGTAATGTCAGAGGTTTGGCTGATTACAGACAGACCAGAAGCCAGCTGCCTTCTGTTATTTGCGACTGCTATAGCTACGCTATTTAAAGCTTGCTGGTTTCAAATGTGATATCATAGAGCGAAATAAGTGCAAAAAAGCAGACAGTGACAGTTATGAATGAGGTGTTAATCTGCAACAATGTTCCATTGTTGATTTTGGCTTTTTCCTAAGTCGCTGTGCTTCAAAAAGACCACTTGACACACAGGCTGGTCAAAATTGTGACATGCCTTTCATCCAATGTGATTCAACAATATGATTTTCTCTCAGACATTTCAAAAGAGAAAATCCTCTCCCTGAATCCCAGCCTGAAATCCAGTGGTTGGTCTGGTCTGGTGCCCACTGAGGTGAGGTATAATATTACACTAATGATGAAGTATTTTTTGCTTCCCTGGCATTGACAGGGGCCACAGAGGAACTTTGAAGATCTGTGGGGCGCTGCAGATCCCTCTCTGCCTCTCTCTGTGTTTCATTATTAAAGATGACTCCTCCATACAGCATGAGTAACACATTGAGAAGTTCTGTAACACGGCTCCCACAGGAGACAGACGGGAGGGCGAAGGGGGGAGAGCAATGGACGAGAGGAGAGTGACATATCAATCCAACAGGCAGTAGTTTAACAAACAGAATGCCAGAGATGCCTCCGGGGAGAAACGTAATAGAGAAAGAGACAGAGTCGCACTTTTTAATTGCAAAAAGCTAAATACTGGAGCGAAGGCAAGCATCTATTAAAAATATTTCCATTCATTGGGCAACAGGATGTGCCAGTTCTCTGTGTGATCTTAGGCTCAGGGAAATACTGCCATCTCAAGGCAACATAAAAAACTGTTAAACAGCAACTCATAATATCATCACAAAATATTCAACTAAATACAGACTTCTACAAGTCTGACAAAGTGGTATGTTGCTTAAGCCCCGTCCTCAATGCATGACGGTGTTAATGACGTTTCACCATAACAACACACCATTCAATGCACACACAATTGCAGTAATCCCATATAATGCGAGACCTGGGCACGGGTGAAAGTCAGCGCTTGTTTATTTGCATCCCCTTTAATTTCACCGGCCACTTAACAGACACGCAGAGCGGATCCTTGCAGATGACTCATTGGGGTAATCTGCTTCCTAAATGACTCTCGCTAATTAAAACCAAATTGGTATTCGTGTTATCAACTTAAAACTACTGCCTTACACCTGCCGTAGCCATGGTGACAACAGCTGCAAACAGGCTGGAATAATAATAGTCTGTGTCTGCCTCTGAAGAACTGACAGACACGATGGAGGAGGAGAAGGGGGAAAGCCTGAAGGGTGTCGGTGAAGAAAGACGAGCACAGAGAAGGAAGTGTAAAGACTTCATAGAGTGTGTCCCCTCGCTGTCTTCGAAAGAGAGTAGACAAGAATAACTGTGGTCAAGTGCAAGAGTGATGAAAGGCGTAGTCGATATAGCTGTACAGTATGTCAATAAGTAAGCAATACTGGATGACATAGTGCAAGAAAATATCACACCACATAAAAACGGAGTGGCATTTATTACGTGTGCCTGCCATATTCCGTATCAGGACATCCTGAAGTGTATTATCGTACTTATACCAATACAAAAAGTTAAACTGTGGGGGTCATTAAACACAGTTACATGTAAGGCAGAGCCAAAAAACAAGATGCGCTTCTCTATTTAAAAAAAAAAAACCCTTAACTAAAAATTATTTAAAAATTTGTTTAAATTCACTATTTTTTTTTTTTTACTATTTTATAACACCTATTTCATCTTCTTAAGTCAATAAATTCCTGTATGTTTTAATTTCATTTGAGGACTGATATAAAATCTCCATATCGCCTCAAAATCTGGCAATTCTGGTCTAAATCTGATTCCAGCAGAAGCACTGAATTACCAATATTTGGGAAGCTGAAGATCTCTGAAGTCAGTATATAACCTGCCGAAAATCCTCCTTTCAAATTGAGCAAAATGGCCCACCAGACCATGTGCACAGACACGTAAGGGTATTTCATATGCTCCTCTCTATCTATTGGTTTCACACTGTGAGATAGAGAAGAAGAGAAATCTTTGCATACAAACAACCAAGTCTTCTCCTCCCCGCAACCATCTGCTCCAAACCACTCTTTCCAGGTGCCAGAGGAGGTGGCTGCCATACTGCTGCACTTGTGTGATTATGCAAATGGTCTCATGCATATTTAAATGATTAATTATTCAGAGCCCTCTTAGGATATTGCTGGGGTACGTGGTTTCGTACTGGGATAAAAATATTTAGTCACTGGCAGACACCTGCATGGCTTGACCTTTATGGTTGGAAAACAGGGGGATTGTTTTCCTGGTGTGAAATACAGAATAGGAAGAGGAGGGGGGAGTCAGAAATAGAGAAAGAGACCGAGAACGAGAGAGATAGGAGGTCCCGTGGGTCCTGACACACATTCAATTGACAGTGACAGATATGATTCTAAAGAAAGTGGTTTGTTGTACATTTATAAATTGAGGCAGCGGGGCAGATATTATCTCACTGTCTGTGACGCTGTGCCAATTACACTGAATGTCAGGTGAATGATAATCCCGGCAGACCTCCCCGATGCTCTTGGCACCTGCCTGAAACTATATTGATAAATGGATTTTTGTGATACTGTATAAAAAAAAAAACAGTTGCAGAGCAAAGCGCATATGAAGCACTCAGCCTGAGGAAGGCAGATATATTTTATCACATGGAAACTGAGCCAGTTTAAATAAAATAAGAACATTATTGGAAGCTTTGCACTGCACAAGCACTAAATCCCTTCTTTGCTGATGGAAGAGCTTCAAAGTATCAATGTGAATCCTTTCTGGAAGTCGGTGTTAGACTTGCTGTATTCATCATACCTTAAAAGTCTTGTCCATGGAGGCAGACAGCAGCAGATGACTGAGATGAGGCACAGGACACCATTGCACTGTGTTGACTGGGCCTTGGTGGCCTTCCAGGCTCATCAGAAGCCTCCTTGGTATCCCCGCAGTGCTGGGCTTGTGAGGAAGATACGGCTTTATTCTCACCGACACTTCTGATAGAATTTGGCTTTCCTTGGTCTGATTACCTGCGCCTTGCTCTGCTGGGCACTTTGGGTCCACTGTCTCCACTGAAGTGGCAAGTCTCTGTCTCTTGGGGATGTACGGTCTGACACGAGACGGGACAGTCCCATGTCTTTTTGCTGCGTTCAACCCATCGCCGGAGCTTTGCGCCATGAGAGGAAGAGTCTGCTGTGGTGTGATCTTCCTCTGAGTCGCACGTAAACTCAAAGGAGCTGCAGTATCTCTAAAATGTTTTTCTTGTGCTGTGTCGTCGCCGCAATATTTTCTTTCCCAGTCAAACCAGCTCTGTGGCCGTGAATGTGGGTGCAGTGAAGACCTGCTTCCATGATGTTGAAACACTGACCTCTCAGGGTCAGGTGTAAAGCTGTGGGGGCTCGGTGTTACCTCAAAGGAATCACACACCCGGACCTCTTGGTTTGGTTCACAAGACCCAGTTTGGACAGAAGCCGGTGCTCGCTCCTCCTCCGTTTGATTAAGAGAATCATCCTCGGATTCTGAATCCTCGTAGGCCACTAATGAAGACATCTCCACATGATGTGACACTGTGTTTGAAAATAAAAGGGACATTAAGTGAGATGTCAGTGTAGGCTACCCATTACAGGTCGAAGGGTGACATCTAGTGGTTGTTTTGATTTCTGCACATAGAAGTAGCATACTGACCTGTCACCCTGCTGAAAACACCAGCCTTGACATTCAAATTATTTGACCGGTTAAACCACCAATTTACAAATGTTTTGTCGGGGATTTATTGCCATTAGAGGGGTGAAATGTCTAGCAGCTACCCACATGCATTAATCAAGCAGACAGGGAGAGAAATATGAAGAAGAAACACCACCATAGGTTAAATTTTGAGATGATTTTTGAGCTACGACTATCCTGTAAAGTCCTTCTATCAGTCAATACATAGCCAAAACTGAAAGAGTGGCTAGCCAAGACAACTAACTACCTTTGGACAGAGCAAAAACACTGTTGTTGACTTATAAACGTACTTTACAGATGGGAGGCTGTCACTGTCACACACGTTGAAGTTTGCGTCTAACTAACCTTAAATTAGCTATGTCTTTACTGCCACCGCTATAGCAAAATTAGCTAACGTTGGTCGTTTGCGTTTCTGACTCAAAGCAAAATATAAACTACAAGCTACGAGGTGAATCTACCTTTATAAAGGTGTACCTGCAATCTGGTTAAACCATCAATATCCGAGCTCTGAGCGTTAAAAACATCAGGTCCAAAATCCCGCAAAATCATTGGAGATAACGCAGAGTTTCAGAATAAAAGCAATGTTTCGATTTGTCCACTCATGTCCAATCTGCTTACGCGTAAATAATTTTGTTTTGAAAGAACCCGGAAAAAGAAACGACTGTCACTCGTCCGTCATATATCGCATTAAACGTATTTACATTGAGTTTAACTCGTGGTATTCGTGCGAAATTAAGCTGACAAAAAGTTTAAAACCTTCTGCGTGTTAAATTTATTCAACAGGGTTTCCAACGTGGCTCTTTTTCGCCGATTAATTCACATCGGAACCGCTGAACGGTGCCTGTTTGCCTGGGAAGAATTTGATCCAAACACTACCTCACGCAGGCTGATGCAAGTTGAATGAGAGAGCCGTCAGTGGCGTGAAGGATACAGTACGGTACGCTGGCCACTCACTGTATTTATCCTGAATTACACCAGATACTCCATTAATGTTATTTCAATAATTTTATAATTTATGAAACACGGTAACGTTGTTAAATCTGAGGGCAGTGTCAGTGTTATCAGCTCTAGTTAGCTCTAGTTAGCTCTGCTATGTTCACATATGGGAGTTTTCAGCTGCTGTGTTAGGAGATAAGCTACAGTAGTCGGAATAAAGCCTCAGTAACTCTGTTAACTTCATATTAAATGCTATTCAAAACGTTTTATATAACTTTACTGTCATATGTTTGGTCAATACCTTTAAATTGTTTATTATTGTCACCCAGCCAGTGTGGAGAAGATGACAGACTGTCAGGGAGACGGGGAAGCAGCCAAGACTCCAATGGAGATCTATGAGAAACTGACAGCACAAGGAGACCAAGTCAGGGCCTTGAAAACAGCTAAAGCTGAGAAAGTAAGTGCTTGTAAACTACCATGTAAGAAGGTGATTTTGCTCTGTGGGTTGAGTAAGCTAAATGTTATTTATTGAGGTTTCAATGTGATCCATTCAGTTGTGTTTGTAAGGCTCACAGTCACTGACCCTTTAAAATATAACGAGAATTGAGTCCAGAACTCTGGATTCCTGTGCGTGTTATCTGACAGCAGTGTTTGGCTTCCCAGACTGAAATTGAAGCTGCTGTCCAGTTGCTGCTAAAATTGAAGGTGGACTACAAACAGGTGACAGGGCAGGACTACAAAGCAGGCTGTCCGCCCTCAGAAAACTCTGTTGCCCCCAACAACGGGCCAGCAGCAAGTGGCGGTGACGATGAAGACACAGTTGACCCGTGGAACGTTTCCACCACCAACGCAAAGGGAGTGGATTATGATAAACTCATAGGTAAGATTCAAGTGAGTTTCAAGTGTGGCCTAAAGAGCTGCAGTTTTTGACTGTCATTTCTGTACAATAGCTGAGTAATTCACATTGTGTCACGTCTTTACTAGTGAGGTTCGGCAGCAGTAAAATTGACAAGGAGCTGGTGGACAGAATAGAAAAAGTTGCGGGGCAGAGACCTCACCACTTTCTACGAAGAGGAATCTTCTTCTCACACAGGTCAGTATTTTAGGAAATTATGTTTAGTGTGCGGGTGTTTCGCAAATTTTTGTGTGGCACGTCATCTGTAGTCATTCAGTAATTCTGAATCTTATGGGAAGTTGGTCAGCATGAAATTACCCACTCTGAACCTTTGACCTAGCCATCATCATTCAGATTTTCCTATTCCGTAAAACGGATGGTAAGGAGAAGGTGAGAGTTCATGTGGGAATGACACATCAATAAATCACTTTCCTCTTACCGTTGTTTCTGGTAGAGATATGCATCAGGTACTGGATGCGTATGAGAAGCAGAAGTCCTTCTACCTTTACACTGGCAGAGGTCCGTCGTCAGAGTCCATGCACGTTGGTCACCTTATCCCCTTCATCTTCACCAAGTGAGTTCTCCCTCTGTACTGAATTCATACCAAAGAGCTGTCTAACTAAAGGCAGGTTTAAATGTTAAAACAGCTGGGAACCATCTCAAATTATGATCCAAATCCTTCACCTGCACAAGTGATTTTATAAGGAGTTATTACTGAAACTTACTTCCCGGTTGCAGGTGGTTGCAGGATGTATTTGACATACCCCTGGTGATTCAGTTGACTGATGATGAGAAGTACCTGTGGAAGGATCTAACACTAGAAGACTGCCACCGCTTCGCTGTGGAAAATGCCAAGGACATCATTGCCTGTGGCTTTGATGTCAACAAGACCTTCATCTTCTCTGACCTCGACTACATGGGGTAAAATATGACGAAAAGCTATCTTTTTAGTCCTGTCTGTTAGACCTTAATGCTGATACTTCCTAGGATGCGTTACATGTATTTATTAAAGAAACAAAATCACCTCATTTGTTCATAAAACCTCAATCAGCATTGAATCTTAATAGTTTTGTTTTCTTAATGTGTTAATTTCAATGTATTTTCTGTAGTGCATCCCCTGAATTCTACAGGAATGTGGTAAAGATCCAGAAGCATGTAACGTTCAACCAGGTCAAAGGCATCTTTGGCTTTACAGACAGTGACTGCATTGGTAAGACAACTGAAACACCTTTAATACTAAATTATTTTATTAGATTTCTACTCACAATACTTTGGAAAGAGGAAGAAACACAAAATGTGTTTACAAGAAAGGGTTTTTTTTTTATTCTTTTGCCCCATATATCTCATATTAGAATGCAATTTGCTATAATAAGCCAAATGCTCATAACAAACCCAAGTGATTTTTTTTAAATTGGTCTCAATCAAGCCAGCTAGCGAAAAACTACTGATGTTTTCATATGAAATGTTTGGATGCACAATTTAGTATAATCCTGTGATTGTGGTTTTATTGCACTATTTCTGAAGTAAAGTGTAATTGTATGAATACTTTATTGGTTCTTTATGGATTTTATTTTTATCCATCCAGGAAAGATCAGCTTCCCAGCCATCCAGGCAGCGCCATCCTTCAGTAACTCTTTCCCACAGATTTTTGGAAGCAGAAAAGATATCCAGTGTCTCATCCCCTGCGCCATAGACCAGGTTAGAACAGCATTACAGTAATAGATAACAATACTAAACACTAGAGTCGTATTTTACCATGACATGTGTTTGTATCTCTCCTCTCGCTCACCCAGGACCCCTACTTCAGGATGACCCGTGACGTAGCTCCAAGGATCGGCTATCCCAAACCAGCCCTGCTGCACTCCACCTTCTTCCCAGCGCTGCAGGGGGCACAGACCAAGATGAGCGCCAGTGACGCCAACTCCTCTATCTTCCTCACCGACACACCCAAGCAGATCAAAAACAAGGTGATTCTATAACTAGTTATTACGATCAATGGTTGCTGCTAGTCAGATTTATATTCCCTATGATTGCTGAGTAACTGGTCTGACCTATGTAACCATTACTCACAGATCAACAAACATGCGTTTTCGGGTGGAAAAGACACGGTGGAAGAGCACAGGCAGTATGGTGGAAACCCGGATGTAGATGTCTCTTTCATGTACTTGACCTTCTTCCTGGAGGATGATGAACAACTGGAGAAGATCAGACAGGTGAGGTCCTGAAGAACAAAGAAAATAAATGATATCTGTATTATTTATTAAGCTAATTACACTCTTTCTTCTGTTCTGCTTGCCCTACTCTCTCTCTCTGACTCTCCATCGCTTTCCTTGAATTTTTTGCCTCACACTCTGTTTATCATTGTTCTTTGCTCCCTCATCGTTATCTTAAACTTCCTTTATGCACACCCCTCCCATCCACTCCTTCTCGTCCAATCTCTGCAGGACTACGCAAGCGGAGCTCTCCTAACAGGAGAACTGAAGAAGATTTTGATTGAGACTCTGCAGCCAATGATTGCCCAGCATCAAGAGCGACGCAAACAAGTCACAGACGAGACAGTCAAGCAGTTCATGACACCCAGGCGCTTAAATTTTAATTTCTAGCCTGCTTGATCAACTGTCAAAGTTCATCATGTCACTAATCTCAGTACAAGAAGAAATAGTTAATCATTGAAGGTTATTGTAATTTGTAATGGGAAGATGGAACATTTTCTAATCTGCATCAGGACTGGAGAACGAACTGAAATGTAAATTACTGCAGCGATGATGTGTCAAGCTTCTCTGTGTCAAACTCAGCATGGCCACGCCTTCATGCTAATTGTTCTGCTACTTGCTTCACACTGCACCAAATGTACACATTTATCTTCATGAAGTGTTTGTGTTTTCAGCGCTGCTGTAACGTCACATGAGCCCTACTCCTTGCCCTGAAATCAGCTCAGGATGAATGACGATTAAAGCGGAGTACAAATGGATACTGTTGCAAAAATCTGCTTAGTGACCAACAACAACACAGCTACACATTCACTTTGAAAAATGTTGGTTAGGAATGTTGTTAAGAGGTGTTAAAGTCTTTGACAAAAAGGCTTCTGGACAATTATTCTGACTTTGTAGGAAGTAGCATCTGTGTTGTATGTGGTGTTAAGAGATGAGGATAATATGATGATAGGAGATATATAAAGAACATTATTTGTTATCAGCTAAAGGGACTTGACTTAAGGTAGCTCTCTAAAGCATGGTCAAAGTGAAGAAGTTTAATTCAACTTATGCCCAGACTAAACATTAAACTACTTAAACAACAACAAAAAATGAATGAATGAAAAAATATTTCTGTGAAAACTGAATAAGTTCCATATCAATAGTGTCACATTGCACATATAATATTCTTTAATAGTTCTATGGTCACACAGCAAAAGTTTCTCCCAACATATAAAGATTGACATTTTGTGATGTAATGGCTGCACTGTGGCCTTTTATCACAGAAGACATTTTAACATGTCACAGTAGAGAAGCACAGGTGTAAATAAAACGGCTGAATTCCATTTAGCTGCTTCAGTTCAGTTCAAAGTCTTAGTTATGTGCATGTTGGCTCACTGCCTTAATAGGACACATGAATAGAACAGAGCCAACATTAATGTTATTAGTAACACCTGTCCTTTTCCTACTATGGCGAGTCTGCTGTGAGAAAGGCGTGTTGTCATAGAAGTGACTTGAGCACTGAACAATCAATACACATTATGTTACATATCACATCACATTATCAAAGGTCTTTGATCCAAATCTCTGAATATGGCCCTAACTGAAGGGAAAACAATATATGATTGGTCCTTTTATTGATAATAATGTAGCAGTGGTGCAAGATGTTGTAAAGAAAACTATAATAAAGATAAACTTGTTTTTTATAGTATTAGTTTTAAAAATGATACTGAGCAAAACATGGATGTTTATGAGTGTGGTATGTTTTATCTGCTGTCTGACTCAGGAAGGGAAACTTTGTCACAGTATAAACACTGTGAAAATGGTGAAAACACAGTGAGTGCATAATTAACTATTAATATATTCAGCACAGTGTTACTGCAAAAACAGGCATAGTTAAGAATTTTCAGTGCTGATACAGACGATATGCAGCAAACCGAATGTCATGTTTTACTGAACAGTCACCTGAAACCTCTATACACATTATTACTAACTACTAACACTTTAAATTCTCCAATTAGAGTAAATGGCTTCACTCCTAACAAAGAGCAAGATGTATTTGAATCGTTATAAAGAGAATATAGCTTGCAAAATTCTCATGTCTTTATTTACTTAGAAGTCAGAAGTTATATTGAGAATAGTGATATAAAGAAGAAAAATATCACAGACTTTCACCATGTAGCACAGTTTTTTGTCAAAAGTATGTGAGGGTCGAGGGTCAAATCTTAGACAAACAGGTGATTCGGTGAGGTACATATTATATATTATCTCTGTACATTGCACATTCTTTACACTTCATACTGTGAACTTTTACACATTCCTGCACAACCTGTACAGCTCTTTCACTGTAAAACACATTTTTATAATATTGCATTTTCATATTTTCAGTGTTTCTTGAGTTTTGCAGTACTTGCTGTTTTAATTTCATTTTTATTTTCTCTTACTATGTTTATATGCACCTAAATTCCAAGGCCACGTCCTTGTGCGAAAACTTTCTTGGCAAAAAAATAAAATAAACATGATTCTGATTTACTCAAAATCACCATAAAGAGTCTTCAGACACCTGTTGCAAGGTGTGCACAGGTGTGTGTGATGCTGTGCCTTAAACCTGGGCACAATATACTACACACACAGTATATTATACACAACCCCCATCGGTTAAATACCCTAGTTGGACACACACACACATGCTGACGATATCCACCATGATAACGTTGTTGATTTTGACGATTGGGGTTGAATTAGCAGTGACACTTTCAAACGCTCCTCTGCAGCAACAGCCAATGGGAGCGAGGGGCGGACAGCACCCGCTAGGGGAGTTGTCCACCTCAAAGTGATCCCATTGGGCTGCCGTAAAAAAGGGCAAACACGCTGCTTCTTTCTCCACTTTGAGCCCCGCCCCTCCTACAGAAATAGAAAAAGGGCTCTGGCGAGAAAGAGCACTTCTAGGAGTGTGAGTGAGGACACATCAGCAAAGAAGTCTTCCGTGTGCTCAGCATCAGCTAACGCCTGAAACCCCCCCTCCATAAAAGAAGAAGACACTTGTAGCGAGAGCTTAAAAAAAAAAA